TGAACCATCAATATTTTGGATCCTTTCCGGTACTGCTAGGGGAGTATAGGAAGAAAACTCTCTAGGAGTATTTTTCACGTGTCAGGATGCACCAGAATCTACTATCCATTATGATGATCTTATGGTGGAAATAGAGACAAGACTATGTGTATTACTAGTATATTTGTCAGAGTGAGCATAAATAATAATGTTACCTTTTGATGATGGCTGGTTGGAAGTATTCTCAGCCCTATATTCTGCAGCTTCCGACTTTCTTTTTAACATCTCCAGACACTCATGATCCTCATTGATAAAAATCACATATGTCTCTCCCTCCTCTCTGCTACCATTAGATTTGCTCGATAGCCTCCTTTTTTATGACCACGACCACGACCAAAACCTCCTCCCTCTCTCTCTTAGGTGGTCTTGGACAGGTGTTGCTCAGATGAGCAACTTCACCACAATTGTAACGCTTGCGAGTCTCCCCCTGGACACCTATCATGTCTGAGCTCGAGGCAGCCAAAGGTGATCACTCACTTGGAAGTCTACTCAACTGTAGCTTTATGCGACTCTCCTCCTGTATCATCGCAACAATGACCTTATCCAGTGAAGGGACAGTCACATGAGCTAGGAGGGCACATCTCCTTGGTCAAAGGTCGAGTTCAGATGGGCCAAAAACTGTATAGTCCTAATCTATGCAAAGATCTCCCATTTCTTGCACTTTGGATTGCCATAGCTCGATATCAGAGAGAAGTGATCAAGATCTGCTCACAATTGCTCTAGATTTATGGCGTATTCTTGATCTATCTTTCATCCTGTACCACTACTTCTATTTCACACTGAATCTGGAACACCCTCATGTAGTTCTCCCTCCCAACATAAATCATTTTTTTGCTTTGCCCAGATGTCCCTCACATTTCGAATGTCATCCATTGAGGATGGAATTGATGAAACCATTGAGTTGAGCGGTCAGATATAGATTAAGGTGTGTGTGGTCCTCCACTCATTGTCCTCGGCACCGTCACTCTTTGATTTGTCTTCGATCAGATATCCCTCTAGTCTCTTCTCTACTAAAACAACCTCAATCCGATGGAACCAACTCAGATACGTGGCCGATCTATCAAGCTTTAGATCCACAAGAGGGATGTATAGCCTCACATGCGTCGGAGCACGTACTGAGGTAGTGGCTCCCATCTAGACGCTAGCTCTCTATATGAACTCAACCAAGACCCTTCAAAACTTTGGGATCTTTCTTCCCTAGAAGCTCCAATCTTTTAGCTTCTGCACTATTTCCATCTTCTGACAACATCAATCACAAGGATCCCAGTTTAGATCACACAGATCAGATAACACATCCTTCACGTCAGTACATCGTGATCCGATCATTGCTTCCCTGGGTTAGGCGAACATGAAGAAATCGAGAGACTGAGGCTTCAGTTGGATTGGTCGTCTGCGACAAAGATACAAACTAGAGCTTCGAAGATCTCTATGTGGCACTGTGGTTGCCTTCCCAATTAGCTCTAAACGAGACTCTATCACCGCGATCCCGTTGTAGTCTTTGGGTAGCTCCAATTGCGACTGTATTGCGAAGCTCCAAGTCGTGATCCCGTCTTCGTCTAGCTTTGCAAGGACAAATAGAAGGAAGAGAAGTTTCAAGTCTCTGTACGCCCAATCCCGAGAGATCCCTTCTTTGTCCAGCTTCGCGAGGACGAAGAGGAAGGAGGAGAAGTTCCGGGTCTTTGTACGCCCAATACCAAGCGATCCTGCCAAGCCGCGATCCTTTCTTCGTCCAGCTTCGCGAGGACGAAGAGTAAGGAAGAGGAAGTTTTGGGTCTCTTTACGCCTGATACTAACTATCAAGCATGAATGTGGCCTCTAAGGTTAGGGCTAGGGTAAGGGCTCTATACTATAAAGAAAGAATTGTTCAAAACTTTCTTTGTACATTCATAACATGGGAGTATTACAATATTTTACAAATGCACCCCTAGACTTCTTCAATATTCTCTTTTTACTAATAGGTCCTTAAATAAGGTCCAATTCTCAACAGCAACCTCATCTGATAAGGCCTTAGAGGCTGGTGGTGGCACCGTTTATTCAATCCTTGCAAGAGGATGACAGTTCACGAAGTTTGGTTTGCCTCGAGTGTTGTCGGTTCATTTTCGAGGCTTCAAACATCCAAATCGGATTATTTTCATGTCATTTGATTTTTATCAATGATGTGAACCTTTCAATGAGATTTAATACAGTTTCAAGCTCAGTAGAGCTTCGATGCAATGTTCGAAGCAAATTGAATATTTCTTCATTCCTTCTTCTAAATTTCTTTGAGAGTCCTGCTTTGCGGTATAAGTTTTGTTCGATCAGATAGGATTTTACTTTCCCAACTATATTCAATAGATATGGAGCTAACTTTTCCTCAAATGCGATCTCTGCTTGCAGTAGAATACTTATAACTTGGGCATATGTTCAACTTGTTTGAATCCTAAAAACTTAGCAGACTACAAGGCAAAAATTGAATCATTTTAAGTGATTGATTGCCAACCTATATGAAATCTAATTGGAAATTGACAAAAACTTTTTGAATGTTGGATATTTGTTAACTGCTAGTTCTAAAGCTAATTGATTCCTCATTATGAAATTTTTAGTTTGAGTTTTTTTCTACTTTTGGGATATTCCACCCTCTAATATTTTAAATTTCAGAGTCTTTAATTGTTTATTGCAAAATCTTGTACACGCAGAATAACCTGCATAGTTTTGAACTTGTACCTTTGCTTGCATTCTTTTATTACTGATGTAGGTATCCAAATGATTGTGTTTGATATCATTCAGCTATTTGGTCATAAATTACCAGAATATCGAATTTAATTAATTAAAATCGCAGTTTATATTCTTTTCCTTTAGAAAACAGGGAAGTCATTATATTGCATCGTTTTACAGTTAAAAAGATGTTTTTGCCCACAATGATTGATTTATTAAAGCAGTAATAGAGAAACTAATTAAGAGGAGAGTTTGGATGGATTGTAAACTATGGGTACAATTGAGATCTCTTGTTATGATTTGCTGACGACTGGCCTGGAGAATTTAGTCATAATTTACTAGAAAAGCAGAATTTAAACATTTAAAATAAGGAAGATTTACATACATACTACTTAATTCTTATGCATTTCCATATCTAATGCCTATACTTCAATTTTTACATCATACCACCCTATCTATGCATAAAAAGGTATATTTCACTTTTTAAAAGTTAAAATGACGGTAGTTTTTATGTCGGTAGTTTTTATGTGATATGATTATGTGATATGAAAGATTTAGGTGGTATAAATGTAAAAAGCATAGATTAGATGTTAGATATATAATACATAGGGTATTGGGCGGCCCCTTAAACTAAAGGTATTTTTGGAAGACATTAGATTTGCATTTGTATAAAGGTGAAAGATGATTACGTTTAGCCATAATGTTTGATTTATTAGAAGAGTACTAGAGCTACTAATTAAGATTTGAATTGTAGTTTGATTGTGAAGTGTGGACATTTGAGGTCTATAGTATAATTTTTCTTATAAGTGGTTAAATTACTTCTAGTGTGATATTAAGGCCAAGGCTTAAGGGATGTAAAAAATTTTCTTTGAAATTGCAAATGTAGGGGGTCATGCGGCCTTTTTTAAACCCAAACAAGGCCCTGAAATAGCATGAGGTCCATGCAATGGATGCACTTTTTATAATTCCATTTTGCCAACAGATAGAAAATTCTGCCATTTTCTGTAGTTCAGATTGTTGTTCCTGACATATATTATCCCATTCATGTTATGAGTATTGCCTAAATTTGCTATAAAAATATTGGAGGCAAATGTAGAATTCTGCCTTCCAGAAAATGGCAAAATGTTATGAAGATTAAGTTATTTTTCCTTTTAACTTTGAGCAGTCTGGTTCTTTTCAACAAATGTAGAATTCTGCCTTCCACAATAAGTGAAAGAAGAATAACAAAAAGACAACCAAATTTACAAAGAAAATCCTAGATGGGAAAAACCATATATAGAGTCGCAGAGAAGTAGAATTCACTATATTGAAAAAAAAGAAGAAATTCAAATGGATTGTGGGCAACTCTCATAATATCGCCTGTTCAGAATCTTAATTATATATATATGTGTGTGTCCGTGCGCGAAAAAAATAATAAAGGTCCATATCATGGGGGAAAATTTTTTTTCATAATTTAGATTACACCACAAGTTGCACCGCTAATCTCTTGTTCCTATCCCAAAAAAAATTGGGTTACAAACTCTTAACAATATGTGAAATCTGATACAAACTCAGAAGCACATTGAGGCATTTTTTTGCTCTTTTTGAGGTATGTTTGTTTTATTGTGGCGATAAATCGATCTATATTTAACTCTTCTTTAGATAAATAATATGCTTATAGAATTGTTTTCCAGAGTCCTGCTATTGGCGCGCTCTTCAATTTTTATTGTTTTGGGGAAAATGTGAGCGCTATTAACATACTTTTTTTTATTTACATTTTTTGCATAATGTTATGAAGATTAAGTTATTTTTCCTTTTAACTGGTGAGGCGCTTGCTCTACATAAATGCCTGAATAAATATCTTTGACAGCATTCCATTTTATGCTGTTGGCCTGATGAGTTCTTAATCAATCTCGTTTACCTTTTGGGAAATTTACATACATACCACTCAATTCTTACGTATTTAACACCTAAACTTTCATATTTACATTTTTACCACTTTGATGTCTTAAAACCTATGCATGAAAATATGCAATTCATTTTTACAAAATAAGTGATAATGTAGGTGTTAGCTATTTAAATACATAAGAATTGTGTGTGTAATGCCCTTACCTTTTTTGCACATAGGATTCTATTTTAAGTACAGAATAAATGCCACTTTTCTGCAGTTTACACTGGTTTTATCATAGTAATTTACAATGTCAAAAAAATTTTGTATTTAATATGTACAATTAAATCATTAAGTACTGCAAACTTCAAAGAAAACAATTTTGTTTTGTTTTTTGCAGGTTGTGGTGCTCATTCTTGTGCTCATATTCGCTGTAGTACATAGTGGTTTGGCAAGCCTTAGAGATACCTGTGAGAAGCTCATTGGCGAGAGAGCTTACCGTGTTCTGTTTGCGGGCGTTTCGCTTCCTTTAGCTCTCAGCTCAATTGTAAGTTCTTCAATTCATTCCCTTCACAATAAAACATATATAAACTTGATGGGACATTCTATGTATGAAAAAGATCTATCTCACATTTTAAAAGTAAAAATGATGGTATTTTTTATGTAATGTGAAAGAATTGGGTGGTATGCATGTGAATAGTAAAATTTAGGCCTTAGATATGTTAATATATACGAATTGAGGGAATGTAGGTAAATACCCCCAAAAAAAGGAAGATTCACATATATACCCCTCAATGCTTATGGTTTACATATCTAACAACCTAACTTCAATTTTTACCCACATACCACCATATCTACGCATGAAGAGGTTCATATCACGTTTTTAAACTTAAAATGGTGGTATTTTTGACGTGAAATAAAAGAATTGGGCAGTATAAATGTCCAAATAATAAAGTTTAGGTGTCAGATATGTAAATACATAAGCATTGGGTGATATGTATATAAACACCTATATATATATATATATTGTTTTGAAACAAAAGTAGTCAATCCGTTGCACTTAAAGTTTTGGGTATTTCTGGGCGGTCGAAACGCAAAATTTAAGTTTCAAGTTTCGGCACTCAATCCGTTATATTTAAAATTTTGGATGGTTACTACTTAAAAATCCCCCCTCCCCTTTTTTTCTCTTATAATTTTTTTCTTTATTTTACTTTTTACCTTAAACATGACAATGATTTATCCTCCAACTCCAATTGGATTGATTTATAATATTTCTAATTTACTAATCCTGCTCTGCATTCCCTGTGCTAAGATGGTGGGACAAGTGATATGGTGCTTAGCCCATACTATCTGGATAGGCAATTCTGTAGCAGTCGCTGCTTCCATTGGGCTGATTGGCCACCACTTGTTTGGCGCATGGAATGGTGATAGGAGGCTCAGCGCTCGTTACGGCGCCGCATTTGATGCGGTGAGGAGCAGAACAAGCGTAGTTCCTTTTGCTGCTATTCTGGACGGGAGGCAGAGATTGCCGAAAGACTACTATAAGGAATTCCTCAGACTGCCTTATGTAGCAGTGACGATTCTGACGCTTGGAGCTTATTATGCTCATCCGCTCATACAGTCGTCCAGCTTCGGTCTTCACTGGTAAACATTTTCTGTGAATTTAGAACTTGTCTTGTTTTCAGTTTTTTTTTTATGGTTGTAGAGCAGATTTCTATGAGGAATAAAGAGGTGGGAAAATGTTTAAGAGAAATAAAATAATGGAAGATTTATGTTTTTATATGTTTAAGTCCTAAGTTTTATTCTTTATGTTATTTTATTTATGCATAAAAATGTGTATTTTATGTCTTATAAGTTGAGATGTCGGTGGTATCTTTTTTATGTGAAATGAGAGATTCGGGCGGTATAAATGTAAAAAGTGAAGTTTGGGTGTTAGATATGTAAATAGATAGGAATTAGGTGGTATGTGTGTGAATGCCCCAAAAATAAAATTTAGATGTATAGCTGACAATTATTATGTATTTAGATGTCTCACGCCTTAACTTTCATATTTACGCATAACGCTTAATAAGAAGAAATGTCAGTTTAGAATTGTGTTCTATGTATGTAAATGCCTAAGTTGTCTTGCAACTGTTGACTCGGAAGATTTCATGATGGAAATGATTTCATGCGAATAGAAGCAAGTTCTAAGTGGTTAAGAATTATTATATGATAACAAATTGTATTATGAAAGTATTTTTAAGAATTTAATGTCTAAAATGTTATCAAATAAAATATAAAAAATGATGTAAAAAGGAGTTTACATCATATTACTTGGTGATGTGTTATTTATATATGTATTGTTTATTTTATTTTGTTAATGTTTAGGAAAAATTTTAGAAGTATTATCTATTTTGCTAAAAAAATTTGATGTAATCAATTGATAGTTAATTCAAACTATCACTTTCTAACTTCTAATAATTGACAAAATGAAATTATGCTAAAATAATTCACAATACAATTGAAAAATAAAAGATGAGTTTACTTTCGCTTGAAGAAATTTTTTTTTATATTTTAGTTTTTTTGACCGCCATAAAGTTTATCAGATTGGAGTTTATAATATGAGATGGATGATAGAAGATTTGCGGCTGCAGAATAATAATTTAGCGTCTTAGTGTTTGAAGAAGATTCGACAGCCATAGAGATAAAAGAAAAGCAGAGGGAGGAGATACTGCGATTTTTTACGTGAAAAATCTTGAAAAAGGAAAAAATCACAAGCACAGCCTTGTTGAAATAATATATTATGTAATTATAAGTATATGAGACTACTGCCCTTTTGAATTAGAGGATGAAATTACAAAGTTAATGTACAATCGTAGTTCAATATTGATAGTTGTAATAGGCTGCAATGGCGTGGTTGATTGTTATGAAGTCAGTATTTAAATGTTGTAGAAGGTAATTGTAATATCAACTTGTCGTAGAGATCGTAGTTGAAAGTTGTCGTAGTAGTTATTCATGTAGGTCGTAGATAATCACGTCAAAAGCGTCAGTTGGCTATAGAATATTAGAGAGCTGCAGAAGCTGTGAATCATGTAGGCCATCATTGGTCACATAGGCTGTAGTGGTGAATTATAATAACGTCCATAAACCATAAAGGCTGAAGTTAGGAGCTGCATGACTTGTGGATCACATGGGTCATAATTGGGCACGTAAGCGGTAGTGGTGAACTGCAATAATGTTTGTATGTCATAAATGTTAGAGTTGGGTGTTGCATGAGTTGTGGACCATGTATGTTATAATTGATTGTGTAGGTCACAGTTGTGAGCTGAATTAATGTTTGTAGGTCATATAGGCTGAAGTTTGGAGTTACAAGAGTTGTGTATCACTACCACATAGCTCATAGTTGGTTGCTTAGCCCATAGTTGAGTTACAATAATGCTCCTAGGTCATAGAAGTTGAAGTTGGGAGTTGTGTGAGTTGTGAGTCACATAAGTCGTAGTTGATCACGAAGTTTGTAGAGGTGAGCTGCAATAATGCTCATGGGTCACAGAAGCCTGAGTTGGGAGCTGCATTAGCTGTAGATCAAGTAGACTGTAGTTGGTTGCATAGGTTGTAGATGCAGATTGAAATAACCTTCATAGGACACACAGGGCAGAGTGTTGAGACTTGCATAAGTTTTGAGCCATGCAGGTTGTAATAGTGCTCCGCAATAACGTCTGTAATTCATATAGAGTGAAGTTGGGAGCTGCATGAGTTGTTGACCAAGTAGGTCATAGTTGGTCATGTGGGTCGTACTGGTGAGCAACAATCACATTTGTAAG